ACATGAAATAATTAAATTAATGGAAATCTATGAACGATCAATATAACAATGCAATTGGAAACATTGAAATGGAATCGTAAAATATTTAGTAGAGCATGTGTTTTTTAATGTCCACCAGATGGCGCTGGTTTTCAAAAAAGCATGTTTTTACCTGTCACAGGTGTGACATCAATCAATCAATCAATAAAAATGTAATGTCCACCAGATGGCGCTGGTTTTCAAAAAAGCATGTTTTTACCTGTCACAGGTGTGACATCTATATAATATAGATATATAAAAACATGCACGTATTCGAATGCAACGTTGTGTCAAATATTCAAAGCAATCGGTGAAGAACTTTCAGAGATTTGAGATTTTGAACAAATGAACATTACATTTTTATTGATTGATTGATTGATGCATGCATACATACAAGAGTAGTACTAGACTTAAAATGAATTTGAAATCACAACCACACTTCTCCCCAATATGCAAGGGGGGGGAGGGGGATTGTTCTTAAATTCTTCTGGCAAAGGGGAAAGAATGATTCATCAAGGTAGTTTAAGGAACCTCTGCATTACTTGGTTTATTTTATTCAAGGAACAAAAAAGTAATGGTTAATCTTGCAAATTTATATTATAGAATAACTTACATTAGGAACATGTAATTCGACCAACTATGATCCTGTTGTGATATTAAAGCCCTAAGAAAGGCAGCAGGTTGTATAGTTAACTCCTTATAGGCAAAACCACTGCCCTAAAACTATGCAACCTACTACCTCTTCCTAGGAACCCCACCATTTCTTCATTCTTCTAAAAAGTTGTGAAAAGTTATGCACATCTTTAAAGATTATGCAGTATAAAACACATGCAGGTTCATTACCATTCTTCATTTGTGGTGAACAGGAAACATCCTTAAGTGTTAAATATTTTGACATCCTATCAAATGATTAGTATATAAATAAGCATATCCCCAGTCCATTTGCAACAAAACAATGGTTACTTTCTTAAAGTACAGTTTATTTTCACTAGAATGTATTTTTGAAATAAGACATTGTAAGGCCATGAGCTAATATGCAAACATAATATACTCCATCCTCAACAAGTATCTCTTTCAGTAGATAAAAGCAAAATGATTTTTATAACCTCATGTACAGTTTGCCGGTAAAAACAAAAATTGTAATTTATTTTAAACCAAGCTGCAAATAATCCATTAAGTATACTGTAGAATTTTTACTCCTCAGGGAAGGCAATAGATTGTATAGTTATCTCCTGAAGAGGGCAAAATAACTACCCTACAACTATACAATCTACTACCTCAACCTGATAAGAGAAACATATTTAGAAAATAAATTTGTTCACAGAATATTCCTTTGAATTTGATTCTAAAAATGTAGCAGGAAACTTTTGGGTTCACGTCGCCCCTTCAAGGTCCTTTGAATTATGGAAAACAGGTACTAGGAATAGGAAAATAGTGCCAAAACTGGTCAAAAGTAACTTGAACACAAAATATTTTTTGGATTTTGCATGAATTATTTCACTTTCAAGTCTCCCATACCATTAGCCAACTTTAAATGCTATTAATATGGCACCAGTGCAAGTTCCCTGTTGCTTACTTTCTTGCTTCCTTGAAATAATGTTCAATTATGTACATTATCTACAACTGCAAGCCGTTTCAGAATAAAATCAGACTAATGTTGCTGATGACTATCTGCTTCCTTAGGAAAGACAGTAGACTGTATAGTTATCTCCCAGTGGTGGGTATGACCCTAAAACTATACAACCTACTACCTCATCCCACAGAGCAGTATCTTCATTTAATAGATGACAATGTCTTTTTTAAAAGGATGCTAAAACATCTCTCCGGTTGTTTAATTATCTACAGTATTTCAAAGCCGTTCTTTCTAGTTCAGTATCCAAATAATTCAGTCTGTGGAACTTCTCTGGATGAAGAAATTAAGTTGCGTTCAAATACTGATGCAAAGCAACTATTATATAGTGTTCCTCATTCTATTCCACTTTCAAACCTAAAAGAAGGAAGGAAAGTTAATGAAAACCATCCTAAATAAATAGAAGCATGCAACTGTAATTTCAGCAGTAAGAAATGCCAGATGTTATAATACATTAATGGGGCAGGAAACCAAATACTATTCTTTATATTGAAATA